AAAAAAGAATTTAGACAAACAATAAAGATATTAACTGTTATTTTTTCTAGGAAAACAATGTCATTAAGTCATAGCAAAAATTATCGCAGAACTCATTTTTACAAAAACGATTGCTACAAAGCTTTGCAATTATATAAAATTTTAGCTTTTCAAAATATTTTCCTAGGTGTCTTATCCAGTCCTTTCCTCAAAGCTTTGAAGTTAATATGTTTTCCATTTTACAGTTCATGAAATTAAGAACATTTCATGAAGGTTTCTTTTAGGGATTATGGAATTGAAGCCCTCTATTGAGTTTCTTTGAATGTTGTCTTCACCATTAACAGTCAGTATCATCTCCAACATCTTTGATGAGGAAAAAATGGGAGAGGGACTTGAGTTCCATAGGAAGAGATTCAGGTTAGCTGAGAATAAGCTGGTGCCACAGTTTCCAGCCTCAACTTCCTGTAAATTCCTTCTTGGAAGCCATCAGAGGCTCCTTATGCACCTGCATCTCCTCCATTGTGCACCTATTGACTTCCCGCCATTGATGCCCATTCACATGCACAAGTATTTTTTTTTAATTATAGTGTCATTTGTGATTATGTTTGAAGTCAGCATATATGGTCATATGAAATTATTCTCTTCTTCTTTCTACTCGGTTCGTGTTTTTGAGGTATAGCCCTGTTGCTCTGTGTAACCTAGTTCACTGCCTCTGAAAGTTGCTTTGTTTATTCCAGAGTGTGGGTCTATCACATTTTGCTTATGTGGTTCCCTAGATCAGCAGCTCTCAGGTGATGATATTCTCTCCAGGACATTTGGCAATATGTGGTGACATTTTTTATTGCTCAGCTAGGATGGGTGCTACTACCATTTTGTATGTAGAAGAAAGGGATACTGCTAAACATCCTAGAATGTCCAAGACAGCCCCCTACAACAACCTCAAAAGTCAGAAATGCCAAGGTTGAAAAACTCAGCCCTATATTACTGTTTCTCATCCTGGCTGCACATTAAAATCACCGGGGAGCTTTAGCAATATATATAAGTTGGCCTCCACTGGAGACCAATTAAATGAGACCCTCTGGGAGGTGGGACCTAGGCTTTATAGTGGTTTTTTTTTTCTTTTTTCTATCTCTCTTTTCTTTAAGCTCTCCAGGTGATTCTAATGTGCAGCCACGTTTGAGAATTTTGCCCTGGAGACTCAATCTTTGCAAGTTAAGGCATTGTAGAGAAGAAGGATAATCCAGAATTAATTAGAGAAGGAAGAGTAGTGAATATTGCTGTCCTGGAACCTAGTTTATGACTGTGCAAATCCCACTATTAGAGATTTAGATTCTTTTCTGTTAAATTAGAGAAAATGGTTGCCAGTTCTTTCACTCACTGGGGCATGATGAAAGTAAGTGAATTAAGGTTGCCCAAGAGTTTTAAAATTAGTGAAAATCAACTGATGGACAGAATTACTAAATATAAGCAGCAACCTGCAGCCTGATACCACAACACAAGGAAGTCTTAACAATGCTGGGAGAGAGAGTAGGAGGTCGAGGACAGTGAGGGCTTTGGTTTTTTTGTTTTGTTTTGTTTTGTTTTTTGTTTGTTTGTTTGCTTCCTTTGAGCCTCTGCAAAGGAGCCCACATCTTTCCAAAAGAAAAAAATTGGGTTTAGTTATGTTTGGTAAGCAGTTAAAGCATATTCTCTGTCAGCTTTGTTTAGCTGTTGTACCTATTAGTTAATTAATCTATGCCAGGTTAAATTTCCATTTGTAAACAAAATGGCTCCTGGTGTCCAGAACCTTCTCTAAGAAAGAAGAAAATACTCTGCAAAAAATTTAATTTGTATAGGCTTGTCAAACCCATTGGCAGTGTCCTGAAGCAGGATACTTACACTACTCTCACAGGTAAATGTAAATTTGCATTCAGATATTGTCCCAACATATCTAGCTACAGGAGGTAGAATAAAAAGAGCACTTTCATGGATCAATAGAATTCCTTTAAACTTATAGGGCAAGTTAAAAATCACAGCATCAAGGAAGGTTTTTAGCTTTTGGTGCCTTGAAAAAATATGGAAAACATAAGACGCAGGATTTGTTGGTAGCCGTAAGGATGGATGCATTTCAACGGCAGTAACTTGCACATGTGTATCACTTTGTCACTCTAAAATCATTGTGACTCACTTTCGCATTGAATTTTCACAAAGACTCTGATTTAAACACGGGTTATAATTTTTTTATGAATAAGAAAACAGATTCAAAAATGCAGGTGGGATTTGAACATCATACTGCTGGTTTTTTTTTTTTCTGGATCTATCATTTGGTCTCCTTGTTAAGATTTAAACTGCTGTGTATCATCAGAACTATAGCCAATCAACTAATTATGGAAATGTTTGGAATCAAGCTTCAGTGCTTTTAAATTTCCTGTCACCTAGTTATAAAAGAATATCTCTCTATATACATGTACTACTGGTGGTAGTTTTAAAAGACAAGAGTTTGATTAGAGCTTTGGGTTGCATTTAAATACTCTACTAAGTTATTTATTATGAATTTAAGCAAATTTTAAATATATGTGAAACTTAAATCATATTTTTGATAGTAGGTGCTTCATATACCTAGACTACTTATTAGCACATGAACAAGTGAAAATACCTTGTAGGATCAATATCCCAAATAGGAGACGATCTTCCTTTTTACTAAAGACTTCTGTGGTTATTCCAAGCTTGCTTTAAAAAGACTTTCCTTTTGTTTTTCTTTTTCTAGATATGGAAAACGGTCTAGCCCTGAGACACTGATTTCAGACCTCTTAATGAGAGAAAGCACAGAAAATGTTCCCAGAACTAGGTATGACTCTCCTGTGATAACACTGTTACAGAACTCAGCTGCCCAGGTGAAGATGGGCGGCAAAGGGGTGGAAACTTCTAGAGGAGGGGAGGGATTTGGCAGAAATTGGGATGGAGAATCAGACAGGGAGGACATTTCTTTTCATGCACTCATGGTAAATCTCTAAATTTCTGTGGAGTGACAAATCCTAGCCCATACTATTTGGTGCTCCTTTGAAAACTCTAAACAGATAACTTTTGGCTCAGAAATTATTACTCTGAGTCGATTTTATAGTATTGTTATCATTGGGGTTGCATAGAGTAAGCCCCCTAACTCTAAATTTAAATGACCAGTTGTCCATCTTTGCCTAAATAATCTCTGGTTTTCACACACTTGGTGGAGTGCCTGTGTTTCCTAGGAAATGTTCCCCGTGTGTTTGTCTCCAGCCTTCCTGCACAAAGTTGTAGATGAATCAGTAGCTCCTGGTGACTTTTGGGCAAGTTTTAGTTCAACATAGTAATATATTACATTCAATGAATGACTGTTGAACGACATTATTCTTAGCAGTTTATTTGTAGGCTTGGAACTTTCTTGGAGTGTAGATCTGTCTTGGGAAGAGATGTCCCTAAAATCTAAATGGGCTGAGATTCTATGGCACTTCCTGGACAAGGAAGGAGTGCTGCTATAAAGAAGCCTAATCTGCTTCCATTTTCCTATTCCAATGGCTACTTTACCCACCCCCAACCCTCACCCCGCTCTGTCCACAGTAGGAGGCAGAGGTCCACTCTTGTCCTGGGTAGGTTAGCTGCCTCAGACCCCAGCTCTACAACCAACGTCAAGAACCAATTTCCCCAGAAGAGGTCACTAGCACACTTGCTCAGTGAGTGTGACCGAGGTGTCACTCTTCATTGAGATTCTCTCTAGAGAATCCCGGGGAACCTTTGGGCCACCCACCTCCCCTCCTGCTCTCCCTCAGTTCCCTTGTGAAATGGCCAGCCATTGTGAAGGGCACAAATATAGAGTTGGCAGATTCTGTTTCTCTCAGGCGAAACAATGATTCAAACTGGAACAAAACTCCAGCGCTCTTGTCCCCAGAAGTACCAGCTCCGACTTAAACAGCAAATCCAAGAGAAACAGATGGAAAATCACAAGGCTGTTTTAATACTAAGCCATAAATGCCTTTTCATGTTTCGTTGACGTGCAGATGATATTTGCCACAATAAGAAGTTTTGGGTAGCTGTGTCTTCTTTCAGTTAGGAAAAGTAACCATCCACACCTACTTAGAACTCTGTTGCTGGTTTTGTCTTGTGGCCCCATGTAACACAGTTAGTGCATGCAAAAGTTAATTGAACCCTGATTGACAGACTCATGGCAATTAGAAAGAAACAAAAGCTGATAGCCTTGAAGTTGCCTGCGAGTGCTGTTTTCTTGAAAAGGGCTTTTTATAGTCTAATAAATAGCATCCTACTACACAACAAGACTGGGGGGGGGCAATGGAAGCATATTCAGTTGAGTGACACTAACTTTCTTGTTACAGTTTCATGTGATTTCTGTAGTTTTGATCTTCAGAAATATTGCTGAGTTCCTCAGCTCCTTTGATATGTACAGAGCCTTTTAAATACTCCCTCACAGATTTGCCTGTGACTTCCTTAGCATGAGTGAAAGCCTCTCAGCTGGGTCTTTGCACATCATGCTGCTGTCTCACTCCTACTATTCCACATGGCCTCTGATTTAGAGTGCCAACGGGAAGTTTCTGATCGTCTTTCAGTTCAGAACTGCATGTCTCACTCTTGAAAGTATCCCAGGTAATCAAGCAGCTTCTCTTAACATGCTTTGCTTCTTATGTGTTACAGGCTTGAAGACCCTTCTATGTGGTGATGGGAAAGAACACTTGCTCTCCAAGCTTTTCCTATTTTCAACCATATTTCATTCTGTAAAACCAGATTCCACCTGTCCTACCTGAGCATGCAGCCATTGTGCTGGATTCTGCCATGTTTTCCTTTGTCATCATTGTATATATGTGCATTTAAATAAAGCACCATGCAGTCAGAAGTGTGTTCTCCTCAGTGAATGATCTGTTATTGCAATAGAGAGAATTACTTGAAATTATTCATTAAATAATAACCACCCTCAAGTAAAAGATTCAATGGCCATGAAAGATGCAAAGATATGTCATTTATGGTGACCCAGATTCTGTGTATGCGTGTGTGTGTTTGTGTGTGTGTGTGTGTGTGTGTGTTGGGGGCTATAACATATAGAAGTATTTAGCAACATTTGCCAAGGGAAAGTTAATTTGGAGAAAATATTCAAAACTCCCTCCACCATTCACATGGGATCCTTGCTAATCTTGTTAACCTATGCCATCACGAAAGAGATTGCTATCTCATAAAACTTTCTCTAAAATGTCCTCTATGTCTCCAATACTGCAGTTACTAACCACATGTAGCTTTTGAACCCTTCATGTAGCTAATGCAAATAAGGAGTTAGTATTACATTTTTTTAAAAAAAATTTGAATTAATTTGAGTAGCCACATGTCTCTAGTGGCTGCCATATCAAACTGCTGAGGTCTATACATCTATGTAGGTCACCGCTCTTAGAATTTGAGTCAAAAACACACTGAGTAGGAAAATTACCTTTTCACACAACATTGGGGCATGTTAATTAACTTAGCTGAAGGTTATTTAACTTTCTCTCTTTCTTCAAGTACTCATTTACAAGGGCAGAGTTTAAAATTAATGTTATTAAATTCTTACATGTAACTTTTAATATATAGAAAATAAGTCTCATCTCATACTGGTACTTTGCACTACACTATAAAAATGTACACATATATTTTTATGTGGCATGTTAAAGTTGCTTGCAAAACCCCAAGAATAACAAACAATATGCAGTCGTGTGCTTAATGAAGGGACACATTTTGAAAAATGGAGATGACTTTGTCATTGTGCGAATATCACAGAATGTACTTATAAAAACTAAAATGGGTATGACATCACTAGGTTACACAGTATGATCTTATGGGACCACTGTCGTGTGTGTGGTCCTTCATTGACCAAAACACTATGACGTGGTCAGTGACTACACATCATGCATGACTTAAGGAGTTTTACAATATATACAATATTCTCTGTACATAAAAATTTTACTGTTTTTTTTTTAACCAGAGAAGACATTGATGTTACAAAATATAAAGCCCTTAATAAAACTAAGATAAAATTGTTCTGTGATTACCCAAAACATTCCCCTCACCTCTATTTCTTTGAACTAAATAGCAATACATAAGGTGTTGTTTTTTTTTTTTTAAATCTTCAAAGGTTGAATCCTTTACAGTGTATTATCACATAACATCAACATTCTGTATTAACCTACTATGTTTGGAGAATTTCTTTACTAAAATTAGTATTATGCAAAGAAAGTTGATTCAAAGATCCATCTGGCAGCACAGACATGCTGAGTATTCATCATCATGTATAGAACTCTTGTTTGTATGGAGTAGAGAAAATAAAAGTAATATACACCAACCACCGAAAGATAATCCAGGAATTTTATTTTAAGCAAAAATTTAACCTCTTGCCCCACCAAGCCTAAATGCCTGGGAAGCCTAGCATTAAACAGCCCACTCATACCCAGTCTTTGTCCTCACTGCCTCTTCACCTCATCTTAGTCAAAAGACAACTGAATCTTTGTGCCTGTGAGCTCTGTAGTCCTGACCCAGTGGCTGTTGATCTCTCTGACCTTGAAATTCACTGAACTTTTGAGTTCTCATGAAATGAAGGTAATAATTCCTACACTGGGATCAAAATTCAAGTTCAGTTACAAGTAAGTAATAGAAGGGAGGTGATTAAAGATAAAGTTTTTGATGGATTGGATTATTAATCCCTAATAATTAATTAATTAGTTTTAGGATATACAATGATGGCAAACAAAAAAAAATTTGCAAAACTGTTTTCCAAGAGATTTTTGTGATAGTATTTCTCAAACATTTTTAACCTGTTGAACATGCTTGGAATAGGCTTAAAGATGCTGGATCACCTACCTGTCACTGCAAAAGTAAATAAATAACTAAAACAATAATAATAATCTTCACTAGAGCTACATTAAGAATAATTCAACCTTCATTTTGAAATGCTTATGAACAACATAATTATTATCAAGTAAATCTACAAGCGTTATTAATTTTTCTTCTGAGCTATGTTCTATGAGGTATGAATTGTGCTTTAGTTCTTTGCAGATGTCACTGTCTTTATTTTGATCCTTATAACACCTGTGATACAAGCAGATGGTTATCTCCTCAGTTTTTACAGATGAGGAAACTGAAAAGTAAGGAAAATAAATGACACATCCCACCTCATTCCAGCTAGTGAGACTAGAAAATGCCTCTATTCGCAACATCTTACTCTCCTGATGGTGTTTTCCAAGCTAGGTAAGTGAAGACCAGGTCCCATGTGATCCAGTTAAACACATAATGCCGACACATTTAAATTAGAGAATAACAAAGGACTAAACTCATTGTGCAAGAGACAAAATGAGCAGAACTAGCTGAAAAAAAGCTTAATAGAAATTGTGAATGTGAATGTTAAGGAAATTATGGGTGAGGAGGACAGGTGAGCTCAACACAGGTGGGTCTGGCACAACTTATGGAGAAAATCTTCAGGGATCCACCTGGCAGAACCAGATGCAGGGTGGCCGGAGGTTGGATGGATAAACTAGGTTCAAGAATGGACAAACTCATCCATTCGTTTGCTAAACATTTTTTGAGCACCTAACATATTGGACAGTGGACTGAGCTGAGGATACAAGGATCGATCTTGTTTTTTATAGAATTTACTATCTAACCAAGAGAGACAGATTACAGTGCATTGTTTTAGAAGTGCAAAAATGGAAGTATTAGAGGTCTGCAAGTTAGTAGGTCCTAGAATCTTCTCACTGAGTGTGCTGCTTTCCACAGTTTCCTGACAAGGGGATGCTACCTGTGAGAATCAATTGCCAAGTGAGAAAGCATCCAACCAAGCCAAACACGAGGTTGCCCTGTAGGCTGAGCCAGGGTGTCTGACTGAGGCCTGTTCCTCTGGGGTACCCCTCCTTTACACTATATTCAGCCTCCTGGTGGATAATGACAGGAATGAGAAAGTCTCTGGAGCAGATTCTCAAATCCATTTACCCAATAACGACGTAGACAAGTAGGCCAGCCTGCCACTTCTAACAGCCGATGAAATAAGAATATGGACACGTGTGATGGCTTATGACCCTTTGACAGTGTCCTTGCCTGTTAGTGCAATGTGGTCTAAAGAGCAACTCCCTTCCCATGAGAAGGGGACAGGAAAAGAGAATAGAGCAAGTGGCCAGAAGCCTGGATGGGCCAAAGCTAAAACTAGGACATTTTGTAGGTTCTGCAAATTCAACTAATACATCCTATCATAGCAGAGAAAACTCCTTCCTCCCTAAGAGGAAATGTCTCCTGGTTTTATGGGAGCAGGAAAGGGTGCTCAGCCTAGGCTGGGGAGAGTGCAGGAGGCAGGACAGACTTCCTAGAGCATCTGAGGCTTGAGCTAGGTTTGAAGGATGAGCAGCAATGTCAGATGAAGAATTCCAGAGAGGAGAGAGAGGAAATGCAGATGTATTTTGATGACTTTTAAATTATTTTTGATTCTCATACTTTAAATTTTGCTGGCCTAAGAGGAAAATCCCTCTTGAGAACCAATCAAGTTTGACACCACCCCACAACTCTTTCCTCCAGGCATCCATCTGCCCACTGACCCCAATCCCACCTGCTCTTACTGCAGATGGTGCCCAATACTGGGACCTCTTTATCAATATTTTTTAACATTTTTTTAGTTGTAGTTGGACACAATACCTTTATTTCATTTATTTATTTTTATGTGGTGCTGAAGATCGAACCCAGCACCCCGCACATGCTAGGTGAGCGCTCCACCACTGAGCCCTCCACCACTGAGCCCCAGCCCCAGCCCCACCAATATTCTTCATTCAGCCAAATCAGGATTAGATCATTCAGCATTAGATATTAAAAAATTTTTTAATTAGTACATTATAGCTGTACATAATATTGGGTTTCTTTTGATATAATTACATAAGCATGGAATATAATTTGCTCCCATTCAGTCCCCGGTATTTCCTTTCCCCTCTCCTCCCTCCCCCTGTTGCCTTTCTTCTATTCTATTGGTTTTTCTTCTATTTATCTTTTTTTTAATTAGTTCAGCCTGGAATATCTTAACCACAATCTTGTGGACAAATCGACATGTCCAGAAAATAAATGTTGTAAGGTTGGTTCTACTCTCTCATTCAGGAAGAGACTCACTATTCCTTTTGCAATATTAGCTGCCTTAATATATTGCAGCCTCTTTTCCCAGCCTGGGGTCAGGACAGAGGAACAGAGAAAGAAAACTTAGCACTGGCCTGAGGCCTCCACACCATAGTTCAGTGCTTTGCAGGTGAAAAAAAGATGGCAGATGCACCGGCCTCAAACCACACACAGGTGCAGATTCAACATGTACTACTGAAGACAGTAAAGTGAATGGGATGGCAGCTAATTATCCCTCCTCTTTCTTTCTATTGCATAAACATTATGCTTTTATGGTTACTTTTTTTTTTTTACCACATATACAATAGAAAATGGTTGTTTTTTCCTCCATGCAGAACATTGGAATCAGTTACAATGCCATCAGAACTAAACAAAAAAATTTTCCTATTATCATAATGGAAAACAGTATTATGAGTGAGGTATTTCAGTGGAATATTCTTCTATTATGGTTCTGGGTAGGAGGATTATGATATTGTCATAACTAAAATTATTGCCTTTTCTCTTGCCTATTAGAACAATTAGCACAGTGTGAAATCGTACAGAAAACTTTCCTCTTTTTAAAATTGAAATTGAATAACATATAATTAATCCTATGTGTCATCTGGACTCATTTTTAAAGTGTGCTAAGTAATAGCTATCAAGTTAAACTCCTTCTCACGCCGTAGAATTCAAATGCTTTGCAGTTATTAGAATGGGCGATCGTGTGATGATACTGACCTTGTTGCCTGACAC